AAGTTAGCTTCGTGTTTAAAACAATATCTTAACCTATTATACTTAAAGGGCTCATTCGTATATTTTGTTTAAAGAATTATTTAACAACGGTGTCTACATATTTCATAAGACACTAATTTGTGTTCATCTTTTATTTGAAGAACAGCTGCCCATCTCTACAGTTAAAATTGCTGTTTTCAAGTTTAACGTTTTCTATTTCGTTATTTGAAGAAAATATTTGACCATGCAATAGCTATGAACAATTGTCTACCTGCAAGTGTGAAAATTAATGTCAATCTCGCATTGTAAAACAATTGTCTAACACCAGGTTTGAACAATGTTCCACCTTTGGCCATGACCCCAGAGTAAGAAATGTTTTTACATGCTGTGCAATGAAAAGACAAGTCAGCCTTCTGATTTAATGCAGTGTCTGATCAGGGTCATATGTGTTCTTCCTATCACCTTGCGTTCCCCCAGCCTTTGCAACATTATCTGTCTATACTGTATAGAGTCAGAGATAAGCGACATAACTAAATCTGAGGAGTTTAGTTACTACGCAACACACTGGAACATAACAATCGTTGACCATGACATGGACAGAGGAGTTTCAGTCGCATTAATTTTAATTCAAACAGCTCAGACCATTCTGTACAACATAATCAAGCTCTTCACAAATGGTTTGGTCGGTACATCTCTGCAACCGGTTCCGAACCGAACTAATTGCAAATCCGACGAAGCACTTTTCCAAAATGCTGTTTTGCGGACTATAGTGACTATTATGTAAGATATACTGGATTTGTCTAAACTGTACTGAAAAGATGCCGCTTCTTCAACATTTAGGGATTTGATTATAAAACATTTTTATCATTATTATGAAACTGTCTTTTTTAATGAAGTTGCATCTCTCTCTCTCTCTCTCTCTCTCTCTCTCTCTCTCTCTCTCTCTCTCTCTCTCTCTCTCTCTCTCTCTCTCTCTCTCTCTCTCTCTCTCTCTCTCTCGTCTAAACTGTACTGAAAAGATGCCGCTCCTTCAACATTTAGGGATTTGATTATAAAACATTTTTATTATTATTATGAAACTGTCTTTTTTAATGAAGTTACATATCTCTCTCTCTCTCTCTCTCTCTCTCTCTCTCTCTCTCTCTCTCTCTCTCTCTCTCTCTCTCTCTCTCTCTCTCTCTCTCTCTCTCTCTCTCTCTCTCTCTCTCTCTCTCTCTCAGTATTTAGCACGTTTGGATTACAAATTATCCAATGAATATAAATTGTATTTGCCTTTAGTGATTAAGTAATGAAGCTGGGCACAAAAGGTGCTTAAATTGTGACCGGTGTTGTAGGTGTAATACAGCATTAATTTTCGACGTTTTTTGTCGTGTAGCAGTTTCAGGCTCCCAAACAGCACGAAGAAACAAAATAAGCTGTGAGGGTTAGATAAATCTCGAACTCATACGAATCACTAAATGGACCTATCAGAGCACGGGCAAATCTGGTTCTATGTTGTCATTAGGGCAGTTGATATGCATGAGTAAGCAAAACTAATCAATCACTAAAAAACTATGCCTACATTCAACATAAACGTGACGTTTTTATTTCCAAATGCTATACATTATTTATTAGTTATTGTACACCAAAAGTACCTTTCATGTAATAATTAACTAATTAAATATTCAAACCGTACAAATGAAACTGAATCTAAATAATATTTGCCTATAACAAGTCAGTACACAAGCTATGATTTATGATACATATTAAGGTCTAATATCAATGAGTGCAAATAGAGGAGTGGGGTGGGGTGGATTTACGTTCAGGCATTTGTGTGTATTGATTTTCTTTCTAGTAACTCGAACTTTTTATTAAAAAGTTTCATACATTCAATAAAAAATTCAATAAAAACATATAAATTATTACAGCTGTGTTGTTCATGTTGTTAAAACCATTTTCTCTTTTCTTTCTATATGCTGAACGACTTCCTAAAAATCAATCAATCTGAAGCTCATAATTCTCACTAGACGACCATTCTGTAATGAAAATTATTAAATTATATTCTCACTAGACGACCATTCTGTAATGAAAATTATTAATTATATTTTCACTAGATGACCATTCTTATTTAAAACTATTAAATTATATTTTCACTAATTGACCATTCTGTAATGAAAATTATTGAATTATATTCTCACTAGACGGCCATTCTGTAATGCAAATTATTGAATTATATCCAAACGATGCAGATATGCGAGTTTTGTTTTTAGCAATGTATTGTGATTTCTAGCTGTCCCTACTAACAGTCTCATTGTAAAGATATCCAATACACAAATTTACAATGATTGTTCAATAAGTTGACGGTGATTTATAATTTCATGTAAGTGAAGCTTAACGAATTTGGAATATTTTTGTCTATACATTCCCTACTTGGCAAACATTTTATTTGTGCCCAGCATCGTGCTGAGTGGAAAGTGCGTATCTATCATTCATATATATATATATATATATATATATATATATATATATATATATATATATATATATATATATCTATATATATATATATGTCACTTTATTGATTTAAAACTGAAATGAAAGTGCGTATCTATCATACCTTCCCGTTGCTTTATTGATTTAAAAAAGAATGGAAAGTACGTATCTATCATACCTGTTTATTGACAATTCATATCTATCATACCTGTCTATTGAAAATATGTATCTATCATGACTGTTTATTGACCGTACGAATTTATCATACATGTCTATTGTTTTATTTTTATAAACTGAATAGAAAGCACGTATCTATCATACCTGTATGTTACTTTGTTGATATAAAACTAAACGGAAATTACATATCTATCATACCTGTCTACTGATTTACTGACTTCAAACTGAATGGAAAGAAATTATCTGTCATGCCTGTATATTCATTTGTTGACTTCAAACTGAATGGAAAGAAATTATCTCTCGTATCTGTATATTGATTTATTGACTTCAAACTGAATGGAAAGAATTTATCTGTCATACCTGTATATTCATTTGTTGACTTCAAACTGAATGGAAAGAAATTATCTGTCATATCTGTCTATTGATTTATTGACTTCAAACTGAATGGAAAGAAATTATCTGTCATATCTGTCTATTGATTTATTGACTTCAAACTGAATGGAAAGAAATTATATGTCATACCTGTATATTCATTTGTTGACTTCAAACTGAATGGAAAGAAATTATCTGTCATATCTGTCTATTGATTTATTGACTTCAAACTGAATGGAAAGAAATTATCTATCATATCTGTCTATTGATTTATTGACTTCAAACTGAATGGAAAGAAATTATCTGTCATACCTGTATATTCATTTGTTGACTTCAAACTGAATGGAAAGAAATTATCTGTCATACCTGTATATTCATTTGTTGACTTCAAACTGAATGGAAAGAAATTATCTGTCATATCTGTCTATTGATTTATTGACTTCAAACTGAATGGAAAGAAATTATCTGTCATGCCTGTATATTCATTTGTTGACTTCAAACTGAATGGAAAGAAATTATCTCTCGTATCTGTATATTGATTTATTGACTTCAAACTGAATGGAAAGAAATTATCTGTCATACCTGTATATTCATTTGTTGACTTCAAACTGAATGGAAAGAAATTATCTGTCATATCTGTCTATTGATTTATTGACTTCAAACTGAATGGAAAGAAATTATATGTCATACCTGTATATTCATTTGTTGACTTCAAACTGAATGGAAAGAAATTATCTATCATATCTGTCTATTGATTTATTGACTTCAAACTGAATGGAAAGAAATTATCTGTCATACCTGTATATTCATTTGTTAACTTCAAACTGAATGGAAAGAAATTATCTATCATATCTGTCTATTGATTTATTGACTTCAAACTGAATGGAAAGAAATTATTTATCATATCTGTCTATTGATCTATTGACTTCAAACTGAATGGAAAGAAATTATTTATCATATCTGTCTATTGATTTATTGACTTCAAACTGAATGGAAAGAAATTATTTATCATATCTGTCTAATGATTTATTGACTTCAAACTGAATGGAAAGACACTATATATCAATGATTCAAACTAAATGGAAAACAATTATCTATCATATCTGTCTATTGATTTATTGACTTCAAACTGAATGGAAAGAAATTATCTGTCATATCTGTCTATTGATTTATTGACTTCAAACTGAATGGAAAGAAATTATCTGTCATATCTGTCTATTGATTTATTGACTTCAAACTGAATGGAAAGAAATTATCTGTCATATATATCTAATATGTAAGTATATATAATACCTATATGTTTCTTTATTTATTTAAAACTGAAAGCATTTAATTGGAGGACTTCTAGTGTTTGATGCATTGCTTATTTCTTGAGTCCAGGGATATAATGTATGAATATGCACAGTTTGTTTTTACATCTCAAATAAATCGAACATTTATGCATAATACATGTTGATATAATATATCATTCAGGTCAGTCTTTCAAAGTAGTATTACTGTACCAATTAAAGCTTTGGCCGATTTTTTATTATAAGGGTTTTTATTGAATTCTGGAAGTATTGTGAACGTTTGGATATCATCAAAAGCTTGCAAAATTCGATTTCATAGAATGGGGTAAATAATAACAGTTAGTTTCAGTTAACGGCATATATAATATTTATTGTAATTAAACACTATTCTTCAGTTTTAAATGTCGTAATTAAATATATAACCTAATAATAATAGATACAATTTTCATTCTCAGCAGCCTTTCCTAAATTCTGAAATGAACACCCAACAATAAAAAAGAAAAATGAAAACAGAAAGAAAAAGAAAACGCAAACTTTGTATTTATATAATGATAGTACTGTTTCATCTTTTACATATTTTTCTATATTTCTTATTTCCTATTTCACCTCACTGTGTTAAATCAATCTGTAATATGGCGCTCTACATCATCGTCATATTTTTGTGTAACTGTAATATTACGGACCTGTGGTCTACATTACCAATAAACTAATGACCTATCCGATGGCCTCGTGGTTAGAGCGTCCGCCATAGATGCGGGAGTTCACGGGTTAGATCCCCGGCGGAGTCATACCAAAGACTTACAAAACTTGGTTCTATACATTAAGAGGTTAGTGTTAGGACTGGTCGGCGTGGTGTCAGGATAATGTGACTGGGTGGGACATCATGTTACATTTCTGCGGCATGATGCCCCAGTGATAGTCATCATTTTAAACTACCACACTGCAGACATCGATGCGATATGACTGAAAACTATTTAAAGCTACATTAAAATCCAAATCACACACATACATACACACACAAATAAAGTATTATCATTATAATTGGCATAAACATTCCCATCAACTTACATTAGTGCAGATGCAACATTTCCAAAGAGCTAAATGCTAAATACAAGACCTTAAATTTAACGCTTAATTAAGGACACCATAGGAAAAGTGACATGTTCTTTGCAGAGGAAACAACAATAACCAAAAGAAATAAAGTGAATATTTTTTACAAGTAAGGCAAATAATCTACGGCATTACGTATTCAAACAAGCCTTCAATTGTTGAAAATTAGTAAAAAATTAATTATCAAAATATTTGAAATAAGAGTTAAAATCGTTTTAATGCTTTTAGTATTATTACTAACACTTTTATTTACAATCAGGAAAAACGTGTAAAGCGATTAAACCAAATGACTTGTGGGACTAGTACAATCTATCACTGATGGAAACTGCCCTTGGGGTGGGTTGTCAGGTTGTGGTTATCGTTATCTAGAGGTAATCACCGATGGTGTAATTTGTAAATATCAATATAAAGTGTGAAACTTACAGGTAGAATAGATAAAGATCTGAGTATGTATATAGAACAGAATAACACGAGACCCCGTTACACATAAAGACAAAATTTAATCAAAATTCATAACAATACAATTCATAATCAGTTGTGATAATGCGTTACGGTTGAAAGATACACATCTTTCTTTTTGAATCAACTTATTCAACGAATTTCAAATACAAATATGCTTATACCAATAGCCGATCTGTTAAACGATAAAATTAATTCATCATCGAATAGAGTGAAAGATCGAAAACATTGACTTGTATAGTTTCATAACCTGATGGCATTGATTCAGTCCAAATTCCACAGCGACTGTTCTTTTTGACTTCCCGGTGCCGGTAAGTCTGGGTCTTCTCCACTTTTCCCTTTCTTTTCCAAATTCTCAGGTGTCTCACCTCTTTCGCCCTTCCAAATTTGTGAAGTCACATTGATTTTGTAAATACGTGTTACGTCACGTCACGTGGATCCTTCCAGTGGAGCCATCTCACCTTTCAAGTTTACTCTGGATAATATTACGAGTGAATTTGCTTCTTAAATTCAACTTGGAGACTTCTTTCATTTGTTTCTCTCCCAAAACAAATCCAAGTTGTTGGGGCAACAATTACAACACACAAACAACACACAACTAGATAGTAAACCAGGAAGACATGAAGTATCCCCATTAATCTGAGTTTATTCAGTCCATGATGTTCTAACAAACATATATTTAATTCATGTGTATGATTCATGTCATGATCCATGTATTCATGATCCTACTTATGTACATATGTACCTACCTACCTACCTATCTAGGTTATTACACAGAATTCCTACAAAAAGCATTTTAGCAGAAATGAATGATGGAATAATTTTGCTGTAATACACATGAAAAGCCAAAATTTGTTGTTTTAATTGTTGCTATAGCTGTTGTAGCCTCTGTTTCTGTTGTTGTTTTTGAGAACTGTATATGAGGCAAAATTGTCCATGGCGTGAACACCGAATAGATTATAATATTTAACGCCCACGATTAAAATAAAATCTATACGACTTTTCAAAATGATCTTACAACCGAATCGTGCCCTTATACCTATTTTCGGATGCAGGTAACGTCTATACCTATTGTACATAAAGGTTCATTAGATTGTGCAGTAACAAACCGTTATTTCCAGTCAACCCAAAAGAAATGAGTTTCTAAACACAATTAGTATCGCTTTTAATATTATATTGCCAAGGAGTGTTTGGTTGAAAATGGGAATGCCTCGCAATCTGATGAGAGTTGCCTTTTATACTCGCTTATAAATCGAGAAAATTGCAAATTTCAAAGATCCTGATCTGATGTAGCATAATGTGACTGCAGTTCTGGGTCTGGGTTTTTTTTTTTGTTTTTTGTTTTACTGACTACTACTAACAAACTGCACAGAGCCAGATGTGCCGTCGCATAATGCGCCTGCAGATCTAGGTCTGTGCAATTTATTTCGACTTATAGTCGAGTATATACGTTACCTGAACGGCAACAAAATTTGCATGATTTGTTAAATATTAAGTAGTGAAATCAAATATTGTTAGAGAAGCTGCTGAATGGGTTCAGCTTCATTGCTAGCATCTAAAAGGAATTCTTCTAAAACATAATATGGGACATAGGCCAAACAAAATTGTTAGAGTAAAAGGTGTTATTGTGCATTGTGTGTGTGTGTGTGTCTGTGTGTGTGTGTGAGAGTGTGTGTGTGTGTGTGTGTGTGTGTGTGTGTGTGTGTGTGTGTGTGTGAGAGAGAGAGAGAGAGAGAGAGAGAGAGAGAGAGAGAGAGAGAGAAAGAGAGCTCACCTTCAGATTCCAAGCAAGAATTTCATGTACGTTATCAATACCTGCCCAGCTGTCATATGGTATAAAGTTCCAACAACCTCGATAGGTTTATCAGTATGATTTGCAAGAGACACGAGCATTTGCCAAACGTTAGCAGTTTTTGATTGTGCAAACATATTGGTGGCTTTTTACATCAATGATGTCATATTCAAGCAAACTGCATGCGCATATTAATGATGTTCATCTCCCAGACGCATTAGGTTGAGTATGTTCGATAATATTGCGTCTATTGATACGCACCAGTTTGATCACGCATGCTCTTCTATTACGCTTTCATTCCATCAGACATTAAATGAAGTCTTTCCTAAAGATTTTGTTCCGTACTACATGCCTCAAAACATTTCAATAAGCCTAAGGCCTTTTGTCGCCAAAATGTATTTCTGGGTGTCAATGTGGAAAACGTCCATGACTGTGAACCCAAAATTTTCTCATATGGAGATGCGATGACAAATAATTTACAACCAAAACTGACATGGTTCCAACAATCACTTCTGAAGCAATCATAATATCGAAGCATAGCAGGAAAATTAAATTATTTTATAAGGTGCTCAAATGTTACAGTTCAAACATGATACAGACTAACACTGTACAAGCACCTGGTGAATATGTGCCGATGGTCTGCTTGAGTTTTGATGTTTTTAATGCTTTAAAATTTAGTCATTGTAGTTGTAGTTGTAGTTGTTGCGCTTAACGCCATTTTTCAGCACACGGTAGGCTATTCATGGCGGCCAGTATTAATGGTGGAGGAAGAAACCGAAAAATCACCGGAAAGAACCACCGACCCACGAGAAGCTACTGGCAAGCTTTCTCACATATCCACATTCGCCGAATCCTAGACTCGAACCCACGCAGACAGAGGTGAGATGGCAGTGATCCGTAACGGACAGCGCTTTAGACCACTCGGCCACTCGGGGCCCCCCTTTTTAGGCTTAGTCATTGCTTGTTGGCGCAATTTCAACTTTGGATGTTTTCCAAACAAATATTCCTGATTTATAAAAAATATTTATATAAGTTATTTTTTCTCACAAAGTTATAATATTAAGTATTGTGTCGACAGCATGGTTAAAATCTGAAATATTGATTCCTGGCAACACAATGCAGGATCATTTCCGCTACACCCACCAATAAAGGGTTGAGTATATATTCAGCATTACCATTGATATTTACATACATTCATTAGATCAATATATTTTTCGACAGTATCAAAATTTTCATGTGAATATATTTAATGTACTTGGAACCTTTTTATTAATACGAGAATCCAACTTTTCATTTTAGCGACATTTGCACTTAGTAGATAGAATATGGCAATTCTCATAGCATATAGTCAGAGACAAAAATTACTGGATGGGAATATTGACATGTATATAGACATTTAAAAAAAGCAATTTGAAACGACGGACTGTTTAGGTTATTGTAATAAGACAGCTAACAGTTCAATAAACAACAAGGACTAGGTGCCTTGTATGCCTGGACATTGATACGTGCCCTGGAAAATACAAATAAAATGCCGGATCTGAAATAAGAAGCGCACAAGCCTGATAAAGTTTTTAATTGTTCTGAGAGAGGTGGCTCTATTCTTTTGCTGTTATTTATGGTAGCCAAAGATGGTCATATTACGGCAAATTAGTCAATAATATTGTCAGCATTCAGTATGTCGCGTAACAGTAAACTAAACGTCAATATTGGTGGTTTTCATTTTACGGTAAACACAACGTAAATGTTGCAGGATATACCCAAAAATTGACGTTTTACAGTATGTATGTATGTATGTATGTATGTATGTATGTATGTATGTATGTATGTATGTATGTATGTATGTATGTATGTATGTATGTATGTATGTATGTATGTATGTGTGTGTGTGTGTGTGTGTGTGTGTGTGTGTGTGTGTGTGTGTGTGCGTGCGTGCGTGCATGCATGCATGCATGCATGCATGCATGCATGCATGCATGCATGCATGCATGTATGTATGTATGTATGTATGTATGTATGTATGTATGTATGTATGTATGTATGTATGTATGTATGTGTGTGTGTGCGTGCGTGCGTGCGTGCGTATGTTTGTGTGTGTGTGCGTATGTATATATATATATATATATATATATATATATATATATATATATATATATATATATATATATATATATATATATATATATATATATATAATATATATATATATATATATATATATATATATATATATATATATATATATATATATATATATATTCAACAAAGCTTTTAATTATATAAAACGCAATAACTTGTTGCATATCTAGATCTATAAGATGACAGAAGTAATTAAGAATAAATGGAGATGTTGCATTACGAGAAGAGTTTTTAAATATGGATCCATTTGATTTTATGTGAATGCCATGCTATCATTTCAAAACGCCCCAG